TTCACCTTCTGGCATGTCAAGCAATTAGACACGAACTCAGCAACTTGCCTCTTCATATTCGGCCACCAATACAACTCCTTCAAATCCTTATACAGCTTATCTCCCCCAGGGTGAACTGAATAAGGCGTGTTATGGCACTCCTCCACAATTCTTCTTTTTATATCCTCACACTTCTGCAGTATGCACCATCTCTCCTTGATCTCAGACTCCCATCTTCATGAATCTTGAATTCGGTCTCCGCACCACTAGTCACTCTATCCCTAATCTTCTGAAATGACTCATCCTCCACCTGTTTTTCTTTAATCTCCTAGAATATGGATGGTTGAATTGTCAAGGCACTCAGTAATCCTTCTAACTCCCCTTGATTAACAACCTCAAGGTTTAATCTCCTCATTTCTTCACACAATTCATTGGCCACAATCAAAGCATTGACATTATGACTCGACTTCCTACTAAGGGCATTTGTAACAACATTCGCCTTTCCCTCATGATACTGGATATGAACGTTGTAGTCTGTGAGAAACTCTAGCCATCTACGGATGCATATTTAAATGTTGCTGGGTAAAGATGTATTTCAGACTCTTATGATCTGTAAAGATCTTACAGGTGACACCGTAGAGGTAATGTCTCCAAACCGTCAAAGCGAACACAGTAGCAGCAAGCTCCAAGTCGTGAGTAGGATAGTTAACCTCATGTGGCTTCAACTGTCTCGATGCATACGCGATCACCCTCCCATTCTGCTGTAGTACACACCCCAAGCCATGCTTTGAGGCATCACTGTACACCTCGAATCCGTCTCTCCCATCGGGCAACACTAACTCTGGTGCGGTGGTCAGTTGCTCTTTGAAGGTTTGAAAAGCTAATTCACAATTCTCATTCCACTCGAACTTAGTCTGCTTCTTCATAAGGGTAGTCATGGGTCTGGCTATCTTTGAAAAGTCTTTGACAAACCTTCTATAATACCCAGCTAATCCCAAGAAACTATGAACATCAGTCACATTCTTAGGAGTAGGCCACTCACTAACCGCCTTGATCTTCGCAGGATCCACTGATACACACTCCTTAGAAATGTAATACCCCAGAAATGCAACCTTTTCCAACCAAAACTCACACTTTGAAAACTTGGCATGCAGCTTGTTACTTCTAAGAGTTTCCAAAATTGTTCTCAAATGCTGAGCATGTTCTTTCTCATTCCTCGAATACACCAGTATGTCATCAATGAACACAACCACGAACTTATCTAAGTACTCATGAAACACTCGGTTCATCAGGTCCATGAATATGGCAAGTGCATTGGTTAACCCAAAAGGCATGACTATAAACTCATAGTGCCCATAACGAGTTCTAAAGGCTGTTTTTGGAATGTCTTTGTCTGCAACCTTCAACTGATAATACCCTGACCTCAATTAATCTTTGAAAACACACTTGCCCCTTTCAGCTGGTCAAACAAGTCTACTATCCTAGGTAAGGGGTACTTATTCTTCACAGTCACATTATTCAACTCTCTATAGTCAATGTATAGCCTCAAACTTCCATCCTTCTTTCTCACAAACAAGACTGGTGCTTCCCAAGGTGATGCACTAGGCCTAATGAACCCCTTATCCAGTAACTTCTACAATTGGACCTTCAGCTCACTCATCTCAGCTGGTGCCATTCTATAAGGTGCTTTAGAAATAGGTGCAGCTCTTGGAACTAAGTCAATGGTAAACTCAACTTCCCTTTTAGGTGGCATTCTCGAGATCTCTTCCGAAAAGACATCTTAAAACTTATTCACAATGGGAACATCCTCAATCCGTCTACTCTCACTCATACTCAAATCTTGGACACAACAAAAGTACAATGGACACCCTTTATTTACCAACTTCTTAACCTTCAAAGCAGAAATGATCCCAAAACCCTTAGGCTTTCCAAAACGTCTATAGGACACCGTCTTACTCAAAGGATCACTCAGGTGCACTCTCTGTATCTCACAGTCTATCTTGGCCTTGTATAAACTTAGCCAATTCATCCCCAGAATAACATCTAAGTCCCCCAGATTAAACTCTATAAGATTCGATGGAAAGATAGCTTCTCCTATTTTCAAAAGGCAAGCCTTTAAATAATCTATTACAATGAACAATTTTGCCCGTAGGTAGACTGACTAACACATCGACATGACTCGACTCAGTTAAGTTTAGTTTGTGCACAACGGAAGTAGAAATGAACGAGTAAGCTGCTCCACAATCAAACAAGGTTTTGACAGAGACAGAATGAATAGAAAAGGTATCAGTGACTACATCTGAGGACCTTTCAGCCTCTCCCTTGCTCATTACAGAAAAGCGCCCGGGAGTGTTACTTCTTCCTTTGTGACCATTGTTGTCGTTGCCTGAGTTGTTGTTGCTATTGCAGATCTGTTATTGCTATTGCTGTCACCATTCCCGAAATTTCCATTCTAACCATTGCCCTTACCTCCCTGGTTGTGGAATTGTTAGGCCTTTGTTGTGTATTCCCACCATTCCCACCATTTCCCTGTTGGTTCAGCTTGGTGTAACACTCATATTCCCTATGCCCTTTCTTATTACAGAACCGACAAGCCCTAAATTCCCATCACAGTCTCTCCTAGGGTGGTTCCTCCTACACCTTTTGCAATGGAACTTCCTCTCCCCATTGTTAGCATTAGAAGAATTGCTAACATTTTGGTTACCCTTCTGTAGACACCTAAAAATGTCTCCCTAAAACCAAACCCGATGATGAACAACCTTTCACCGCCATTATTGGTCGAGTCGAGTATTTAACCTCGGGAGTGCTTAAAACCCATATTCAGTCAAACACAACTTACATATTTAGTCCACAAATCAATCAAAATATTTAGTCAAGCTCATTCCAATCCACATGTTAGCCCAAATCCTTTATAATTCATTTCGTTTTATTTATTAATTAAGCCTGATTAATAAATAATAAAACCCTAAACCTAATTAAACTTGGAATAGCTGAAACGGCGCATAATTATCCCGTACTTAATGCTTAAGTAAAATATAAAAATGGATCTGGACGGAATTCTAGAAAACACAAAAGCTGCGACACGAAAAAGTCGCCGCGTCACGGCAATTTTTAGGGTTTATTTCTATGCGGCGCTTCAATTCTAGGGTTCCGTACCTCACCTCTCATATTTTCTCTATAAATACGAAGCTGATTTCTCAGTTTCGGGGCATCAAATAATTCTCTCTTCCTCTCTAAGGCACCAAAAATCATTCTCTCTTCTCACTCTTATTCTCTAGCCTAAACACTAGTCTTCCCTATTCTCCTAATTACACCATTCCTTCCCCAAGCACTCCAAGGAGTCCGTAATTTACCCGTAGTTCCACACTTAAACCAAGGCGTGAAAGGTAGAATTGTTTGAGGGTTTGGCCCCAAATCAATTCTAGTTTAATTTAATTTAATCTCCATTATTGTTTATTAATTTTCCTTGAAGTTACTAACGCGTTTATTGTTTTATAGTTGCAAGCAAACGCAATCAAAGTAAGGAATTATGTTCCTTTTGTTCCTATTATTTTTCTAACGTTTTTTATTTTGTTTGTCATATATTAATTGTTGGATTTATGGTTAAATTGCTTCCAATGTTGATGTTAATTTTATTATATTTGATGATCACCATATTGCATGTTAAAGGGAACATGTAATTGAATATAACGCCTAATAAGATAATTTGGACGACCGGTTTAGGTTCCTTTTTAATCTTGTTGTTTAATCAAGTGATTACTAATATTTTAGAATTATATGTTGCATTAACATTCAACCAATTTAGCCTAATAATAGTTTGGAGCAAATTGAATCTTTGTTTGCATGCCTTTGAAATCATAGGAATCACTTTTCACAATAAGAATCGAGTAGAGGCCAATACGGGCGAACGTGACTCCATGACTCACTTCGTACCATCATCCCCGATCCTCCTTTCGTGGTTCCGAACCATATGGAGTTAGTAATCTCATGGATTATGAAAGGGGTGTAACCTTCACGGGTCAATCGTTGTTGCCTATCGTTGTTCTTTATTCGCGGTTGGCCTTAAATGATCCGTGATCGGTTTACAAGTTCCTTAAAAACTTGTTGGCGGCTCCCTACTTTCCTTGTCCCCCCACTTCCTATGAGGTGCCAAATATATTCACAACATGCTTACGTAGGCGCGCTTCGAATGACGCCTACACCTTCTCAAATGAGTTCCCATTCCTAAACCTCTTAAAGTTACCTTGGTTTTCAGAATTCTCAAAGTCCTTTCTTTTCTCCCTAGCCTTAGCACTCTCACCCACATCCCTAGAGTTCAGATGGTACGTGTGTGCAGCTCTCTCATATACCTTATCTAGGGTCTTAAAAACTTTCCCAGCTAGGTCTTTCTGTAAGTGTTTGGTCAATCCCTGTTCAAACCTCTGAGCCTTCAGTTCTTCAGTCATGACAACCTCAAGAGCAAACCTAGCACGGGTCATAAACTTATTGTAGTACTTTGAAATTGACATTCGGCCCATCTCTAAGTTTATAAACTCCTGAGCCTTCTGCTTTTCAGAAATGGGGGGTAAAACTTGTCTCTCAATGCAGTCTTAAACATTTCCCACCCAAAATTTGGTTTGACTCTAACAGCTTCAACATTATCTCTCCACCAGAGGTCAGCCTCATCCTTAAGGTACATAGCAGCTTGGTCAACTTTCATACCCTCAGGACAATTCAGTGCCACAAACAGCTTATCGGACTCTCTAATCCAGTTTTATGAGAAAGTAGGATCAACACCTCCCTTGAAAACTGGTGGCCTAACTTGAGCTAACTTCTTGTACATTTCAGCTTGGGGATCGGGTTGGTCTCCCCGATTCTGATTCAGGTTCTCAGCCAACATACGGATGGCTTCAGCTAAGGCAGCATTGTTTGTCATTCTAGTTCTACGCCTGAAAAGGAAATAGACATGCACTCCAGTTTAAACAAAATTCAAATACCATTCACATATACTCATTCAATCACAATGCTACATTTTATCACTTAAATTGGTTCAAAAGGGTACTTTAGTCTTTGCACCCCCTTGTCCCAAGCAAAATCAAACGATTAAAAGCACAATCTACACGCAGGATTAAATAAAGTTAAGAAAATAATTCCCATCCTGGCCACTCTTACTCAGCTTAAGCATAAACAAGGGAGTTTGACTCAAAATTATAAGTAGCCACAAAAACTTATATTGATCTTGATTCAAAAATATAATCAGAAACAGAATCCTTAAAATAAAATAACAACTCTTATTATAATTCAAATGAAAGTACTAATCCCACATGATAGTTTGTAGCTCTCAGCCACTTATTAAAATAAATAACTTATTCCATAAAAATCCTAATAATCACTATTAACGAATAAGAAACTACTAATGCTATTTCTATGGTAGTAAGCATAAACTTCAAGGGACGACATTTAAGTTATTGTCTTTCTCCTCTTCATAAGTAATAATGTCAAAGTTAGAGTCATTATCATCTTCAAAATCTACAATAACAGCCTTGTAGAATGGGTTTGGATTTCTAGTAATCCTCTTCCCAACTTGTGGTTTTGGCGGTTCTACGTCCTCCTTGTCATCTGATATATGGTTAAGAATTCTCCGAAAGGTCTTCTTTTTGTCCTTTTTCTTAGCTGTTCTATCTTCGTACTAGTCCTGGTATGTTTTCTCACTTTCATCATTTTGATTTGGATGTAAAGTCCACTCATCCCAAGAGTCGCTGTCATCGTTTTCTATTTTCTGATTATGTTTAGTCACCTTCACTGGATTTTTGTCCATCTCTCTACGCGATCCCAGCATAACAAACATTTAAAGAATTGGCACAAGCACATCGTAAAGAAATTCAGTCAGAACACAATCATACAACTTATTTAGTATGCATGCATGCCCTTTCTAATTCTACCCAAATCTCACCAAATAATTCAAACTTCAAAGTTATTTTATAAACATTTAAAACGATTATTTCAAACACCGTAAGTTTTAGAAATCATTTTCAACTTTTGAATTCGAAATAATCCTTAATCAATTAGTTAGGCACCTAAGACATACCAATTGGCTTTAGTGGTAATTAAATCTAACCTAAGCTCCCAGATACCATTTTGTAACACCCTAATAATTCTCTCTTTAAACCTATAAATATCTTTAATAAAATCCAAGAGAATTACTGACGTGCTACCGCCACATGTTCAAACGTTAAGGCTAATTTAGAATTTAGCAGCGGAAAAACCAACTCAGTTATAATTAAGTTTCAAAACCAATGAACAAAACCAAATTAAGTCTTACAAGTTGGAACCATTAAGGCCCTTATTCAAAACCCAAAAAAAGTAGTAAATAAATCAAACTAGAGTTGAAATAAATTCAAACTTATGAAATGAAATAAACTATGAACAATAACCAACACTCCACTCAAAATCCCACCACCTTGATGCAAGTCTAGACTATGTAAACACCTGTGATTAATCTGCTCCCCAATATTACAAGTGTAAAAATTGGATCATTACAGGGTCATTGAAAGGCGAAGGCCATGACCAAGCAAAGACACACAAAAGCACGCAATCAGCAACGCTGAGTACATACAAGCTACGAAGAATAACAAAGAATTCCTAATATCCTACTAATGAAAATCAACACACAACAATTTAATAATTGACTCAAGCACATGACTCAACTGTTAATATTATTAAGACTTCTCTAATTAGCTCTGATTATTTCATGTCATTTTTTTTATTGGATTAAGCAATAGACAAGATTGTCTCCCTATGCTCCAATTCGGAACATCAATGAAAGAAAAACCCCTAGCTAGTAAGAGATCTCATCTGACTCCTTATAGTTTTAAAAAGTGTTTGAAAACAAGAGACTCGTAGATCAGACGACCTCTAGAAAAGTGCATGGATAAATACCCCGTGTACCCCAACCCCTGTTTGTCATTACTCTAGATGTGCACAGATGCAGAGTTTTATTGCTCATCCATCTTGCACTTTATGTGATTTACATGTTTAAACTTGGTGATGTCTCAAATGCAAAACAATACAACCAATCAAACATTAATCATTCAAGCAATTCAAATTTCCAATTCAATTCTCGATTTATTAGTGACAGCAAATTTTATTATTGAATCCTTTAACTACCTCGGTGTAAAAATACCTTAAGTGCATAAGGCACCTCAATTCCTCAAACTCGTCTTACAAGACTTTAATTCTACCTTTACTCATTCCATTTCATAAACATGAACGAGTAATAAGATAATTCATTCCACATATTTATGTACCTTTGCCTCTTAGCTCATCTTGCAAGTTAATGCATAAATAATACTTACAAGATAAATCAATACGCATTTCTCATACATGAATCAAAACCAATCATACATTAATCACCAATCAAACTCACTACCATACAATTTCAACCAATCCGATCCACAAGTTTCCTAACATGATTCTAAATTTTCCAAGTCCTTAAACATGCTCCTAAAGTCAAGGTTTTTCGTATCCTTGTATGTACCTTGAGTAAACGAGTTGGTTGGCCACTTTAGGAACTAGAAATCGCCCTCTACGAAGTCCTCTCCTAAAGTAAACAACAATAATTCAATCAATACACAAGCTATATAATTTACAACAATACCAAACTACTTTAAAATCCCTTAAACCATTGAAATAATGCCTTTAAATTATGTACAATAGTCAAAATTAATACTTTAATAGTTCAACTATAAATTTATATGTTAAAATCATGAAAATATAGCTTATAACATGAAATTCCAGCAACTTTAAAGTAAGGAATATAATCTGAAAATTTAGTTTAAGATTATAAAATTAAAAAACCTCATAGACATCTCTACTTGAAATAATCACTATGTAGTAGGTTAGTCTGTTAAAAACCTAAAAATCCATCGTAAAACCATGATTTAAAACCCTTAAAACCAAGACTAAAAATCTGAAAATTTAATTTAATAATAGAATGTATGAATACAACAATCTAAACTTGAAATATATAATTAGAATTCAATTAGTTTCATAAAAACTTAATCAAACCTTCAAATTTCACAACTTAAACCCTAAAATAAACATAATTCAAATCTGAAAATTAATTTATAATCAAGATAATCGAATTTAAACATAATTTACACATAATATAATTAGATAACTTAATTAACACGTTTTAAACCCTAAAACCATGAAAAATCAAAATTTTAAACCGTTAATTCTCAATTAAACTAAATCTGAAATTTTTGTCATCAAATCAAACATGGTAAAATTCAAAAATTTATAATCTTTTGCAACTCATATGCATAAACAAATCATAATAATAACAATTTAAAACCAAATTTAATAAAGATTAAAACTTGAATTAAATTAACAAAAGAGATAAAAAGAAATAAAGGAGAGAGAGGGGGGCGAACTGGTGGTCGTGGGGAACTGCGGTGGTCGCTGGAGCAGCGGTGGGCGCCGGTGGTGGCCTGTCGTCGGCGGTAGCAGCATAGCAACGAAGAGATTTTTTTTTCTTATTTTTTTTTATTTTTTTTTTCTGGTTGAGTGCGTGAAACAGGGGAGTAGTAGCAGCAATATTTTGGGAGGAGAAAGGTTTATGCGTGAGTAAAAGAAGGGGAAATAAGGTACAAGGCTTTTTAAATAACAATGGGCTAAAAGGGTTCTTAATCCTAATGGAATTAAGACATCTATTTGGGCCACAATTGGATGATTAAAAAGTGCTAGGCTTAGATCACTTGAAATTGGGCTACTATTATTATAACACCATTGTCAAAATATGGTTAGTAGGTAAGAAGAGAATTTTTAATTAAAATAGTGCTTATTAATTTAATAATGTTCAAATTAATTTCCTATAAAATAATTTATATAATAAAATCGAAATAAAATATTCGTATACGTAATAAATAAATATAATTATAATTTACTCAAAAATATGGGGGATTATAGAAAGCATAAGAAGGTTGTGAGTTGTTTATATTACAAACATTTTAGTAGAGTTATGAGATGGGCCTAAGTGTCGTTTTGTGTAAGTGGGCTAAGTTATATATATATATATATATATATATATATATATATATATATATATATATATATATATATATATATATATATATATATTTTCTCCGTTCTAGTAATATTGCAACAACTGGACTTTTATACTATTCATCATGCTTGTTTGACCACATATTATGATTTATACGTAAAATAAAATATAATCATGTGGGGTTTTGTTAGATTCGTCTCGTAAAATACTTTCACAATATCAACTTTTTATAATTTTTACTCTTATATAATTATAGATATTTAGCATAAAAAATGTGTTTTGGGATGCGTAATTTCATCCTTGTTACAATATTTGTGGAACATATATATATATATATCAGTTTTCTTCTCCCCCTTTTCATCTTATTCTGTACACATCTCCATAACATTAGTGACTCAAGATCGTTAGTGCTAAACACTCTTGAGGGTAGGATTTTTTGTATCCCAAAAACATATTCAAAGCCTTGATAGCACGGAGGGGCAAATAACGTTTTTAGGAAAGTGTTCTTCGTACACGCCTAGATCCATTGTTCATTTTTGTGCTATTTTATCATATATTTTTTAAAAAAACAATCTAGTATATTTGTACTCAGTATTCACAAGGATGAATTCCATGTGATTCATTTGAACCCATTTAAAATTTTGTTAACCATTACAATCCCAAACAAATCTGTACGAACTAACCAATTTTAAGGCAAAACTTGAGAGCCTTTTTATGCACTTGATACACAATGACCCTTGGAGAGAACAAACAACTATATTTACAACCAATGGCCACCATAGGGAGTCTCTCCAAAATAGAGAATGGCCAAACATCTACACTCAAGGAAGCAGGCAAAAAAAAAAAAAAAAAAACATTTATACTTCGAAAATAGGAATAAAAAGTTTTTTTCACTCATGGTAGCTTTTCCCTTGCAGCCTTGCTGATGTAGAATTCTGGTAAGAAATACCTCAACCTTGTTCTTGTGGGGTCATAGATGGTTAGGAACTTAGGACAATATTCATGGAAAACATTAAACATGAGAAACTAAAAATTTAAATACGAATAATAAATAAACATTTATAATACCAATCAATTCATATTTTTTTACCATAAATACACAAATTTATACAATACCGTGTAAGGAAATCCATTTAGTTTTTATATGCATCATTAATGGTTGAATGCAAAACTCTAATATTGCACCTTGATGAATGAATGAAACCCGCCTTGAGGCATTAAGGAGTTGAAACTAGAACACTAGAATATTTAACCAATGAGAAAGTATTGGGTGCGGACTGCTGCACGAAAATTTGCGTGCGGCAGACTTGGCTGATATTATTTCACTTGTTGGCTGATATATTTTATTTGTTGGCTGATATGATTTTTGTGTTGGCTAATATATTCCTTTTGTTGGCTGATATGTTTTTTTTTTTTATTTTTTTTTATTTTTTTTTTATAATTTTTGATATGTTTCTTTTATTGGTTGTTATCAGACATCATTTGGCTGATATGTTTGTTTAGTTGGCTGATATATTTATTTTGTTGGCTGATATGTATATTTTAATTGTTGGCTTATATGTTTCATTTTGTTGGCTGATATGTTTATTTTGTTGGCTTACCTGTTGTTTTTGTTTGCTGATTTCATCCTTTTGTTGGCTGATATGTTCCTTCTGTTAGCTGATAAGTACCTTTTGTTGGCTGATCTATTTCTCTTGTTGGCTAATATGTATCTATTGTTGGCTAATATATTCCTTTTGTTGGCTGATACGTTTTTATTAGTATCCCTAATGTTGACTGATATCAGACATCAATTGACTGATATGTTCATTTTAATGGCTGATATGCATCCTTTATTGGCTAATATGATTAACAACATACAACATACTTTCATTTCCTTCTCTCTCTCCTCTTTCCCTCTCTTCCTCTCTTTCTTTCTCTTGTTTCGGTTCATTTGATTTGCTCAGATCACCTCCTTTCTTCTCCAACTTCTCAAATCAATCACAAATCCCACGCCACCCCACCCCACCGCACCCACCAACCACCGAACCCACCCACCGTAGCTTCTTCTCTTTCTTTCTCAAATCAGCCACAAATCCCACGCCACCCCACCGATCCCACCAACCACCGAACCCACCCACCGAACCCACCACCATCGCAATTATCCGCCTAGAACCAACAGTAAGCCACATCTCCAACCACAACCCGAAACCCGCATCCCTACTACAATCACCAATCGCCACCAACCACAAGCAGAGTAGCCCCTGAATTTCCAGCCACCAAAACCCGCATCCCCACAACAACCACCTACAACAAAGCTAGCATCGGTCTTCGCAATGGTATTAAACTCTTATTTGCTTGCAATTTTTTTCGGTTTTTTTTTTTTTGTTTTTGTTGGCGTTTGAATTGGTTGATTGTAAGTTGCGTAGGTTTGTTTACTTGATGTTAGGGTTAAGTATGCGTATTTTAATGTTGAGGTTTAATACTAGGATCGCCGCCGCCGCTTCCCAGAACCACCAGTTAAGAGTCGCTGTCGCCACCGCACGAACTATAGGGTGCGGATTGCCGCACCCAATAGTTTGTGTTAACCAATAAATAAGAGGTCTATATGGTTTGGGTTGAAAATCACAATTACTAGGGCAATTGTTTTGGTTTTTAATACACAAGTGCTGCGACAAAAATAAAATAAAATAAAAAGACAAGTCGGTGTGGGTATATAGTCGCAAACTTGTTTCTATGCATTACTAAAAATAATGAACTCATACTTCATATCCTAGAAATTCAACATGAGATAGACTTATAAAAGTCTCCAATGTTTCCATGAAACCCGTAAAACTGATTCAAGTACAACACATGAAATCTCAAAATATAGACCAAGAGCTGGGAACCAAGAATGGTAGCCAAATGACATGGTTTGCATCAAACATGATGACAAAACCAATAATAGAGATGTCAGTGGAGAGGATCAAGTAGGAGACCCGTCTCATCCCACCCCATCGCTTTGGTGGGTGGTGGGGCAGGGATGGGGATGAAAACCATACCCGTCATGGGTGATAGGGCGGGGGTGGATTTTAGGTTGTACCCGCCCCATCCCCGCCCCGTCCCACTTCATACCCGCCCCGCCCCAACCACCCCACTTCGTACCTGCCTCGGCGCCTCATCCCCACCCCATACCCACATCTATATAATTTTAAAAACAAAATTATATACTTTTATACTATTTTATAAAAAAAAAAATTCTGTAAAATATATAATATAATACTTTGTAATACACTAATATTAAAACAAAAAGATGTGTAATATTGACATTGATTTTTTTTTTAAAAAAAAATAAATATGTATGCTATTAATTATATAGGATTGTGTATATGTGAAGCGGGGATTATGTGGGTATTGGGTGGGGATTAGGTGGAGGTTGATATCCAAGTAGGGGTGGGGCGGAGATGAATTTTGGACCCGCCGCGGGGATGGGGATGAAAATTTTAGGTGGGAATGGAAAAGCCAACATCCACCCTGACTCGCCCCATTAACATCCCTAACCAGCATCCACCAAGACTAAAAAATGCCACATATCACACGTAACATTAGGACAATTTCTTTGCGGTCATTAAAATTAATACTTCTTTCGTTTTTTTTTTATACTTTCAACAGTTTGACTTTTACACTATTCACTTCTTCACTTTGACTAGCTTTGATGATTTAAATTTAAGTAAAAAAATATTCACGTGGGATCTTATTATATTCGTCTCGATTTCTACTATATTGATATCCAATGTTTATAATTTTTAAATTATGGTAATTAAAGATATTAACAATTAAAATAATGCATCGACAAGCGTGAAAAGATAAGTATTGCAAGTAAAGAAAAACAGAGTAAGTATAATTGTAAAGGGTAAAAATAAAAAAAAAATAAAAACATTTAATCCTCTAATATCATCTCATCATACAATGCATGAAGTTGGAGCTGAGTCAGGGGCTTAGGGTGCTTCCATCTACCTAACATATTTCAAGCAAGCTTGCCCGTTATCAATGGATTTGTGTCTTTCCACTGATAATATCTTTGGCACAAGTTCCTCAGTGTGGCAATTGAATGCTGCATGTTATTCAGCTTTGTATCCCTAAACATCCTCTGTCAAAGAAAAACAAGTTTGTGAGAACAGAGAAGAATGGATGGCAGGCATTAGAAATGGTACAAAAGCAAGCACACATGCATACCTCATAATCATCTCCATACTTCTCAATTAAAGGAAGAAGATGAGCACGCTGCATAGTCGTCAATGGCTGTGATGGTACTTTTTTACCATCCCTTCTTTTCTTCCCAAGCGCTGATTTCAAATCTATATACAAAAAAGATTGTACTACATTATGTGCTGATGGTGAGTGATTTTCTCAACCACAAATCAATAATACTGCAAATAGAATACATGCTGCAAAATAACATGCTTGCCCAGTGTTTAGCAGACTTGCATTCTATGGAAGCTAGTATTAAAGGACAACCCATCAGGATTATTGAGGGAAACAAAGTTAAATCCAGTTACTCATTATCAGTCAACAGGAGGGAAGGAGGTAGTAGATTTGTAGGGGAGGCTTCTCGTAATTACAAACATAATACTATAATGCCATAAGAACCAGGCATATCAGCAAAAAATTAAAAATACCGCAGTGCCTATGCATCATGCAGGTACAGTTGCCTCAAAAGGATAAGATTTAGAACAATCATTTCAGAGCTGAAAGCGCCTGAAACAGGGTGTCCTCATCATTTAGCATCCCAAAGGCTACAAGCAATTGTAAATCTAGCAAGACCCAACCTTGCCTTAAACCTACCAATCTATTCCTCTTAAACTTAATGATATACTCCTCTGTTTCCTTTATATTTTATACATTGACTTTTACATTACTAGTTATTAATACTATAGTGGAAACATATGTTATTAGGTAAAATGTTATTGGATTAGTGTAAAGGTATGCATTCAATAGGCGAACACCTCTAAAGCTGCTGCGACTCATTCTAATATAAACAGGGAAATCCAACCAAGCCTATTCTTACAATAGTGATAAACTGCCCCTAGTGCATGTTTTGTTAGATGTCAAGGATGCATGGTTTTTTTTCTTTCTTTTTATTTTATTTTATTTTATTTATTTATTATTTTTTTTTTTTAATGACAGTCTGATACAGTCCACAAATGGCCATCCAAACTGCTGCCATTTGGATTAGAAATAGTAGCATAAAAGTTCAACAAGAGATGAGGCCCCTAAGCTCTTAACAGTGACTGATTTTCTAAATAAAGATTCCAGTATATGTTTCTGCCTCAAGCAGTCTTCAAGAAATGATTAGCTCAGCTAACTATCTCATAGAATTTTACGTACATATCAACATCATGTACACAGTATCAAAACCAATGTGCATGAGAGACTATTCAGCCAGATGTCAAATTTACAACTGAACACTTCAATCCCTATTACATATGAATCTGGTGCAGTAGAAAACAGTTAAGCAAATTTGCTTGTCATTGCCAAATGACTAATCTCTATTAGTTGTGGCCTAAGAAAGAGAATTTTACCACCTTTCATTAGTGGAGGGGACTGGAAACAAACAAATTATGCATCTGAGGATGCTTACGAATTATAAAAGCTTGTCTTAGGAAAGCAGAAAACATCATAATATGCAAAAGACTAATTAAGAAAAACTAAAAATGGATAACATGGTCTACATTTGCTGCAGCAACTTATGTTGAATGCACGAGAAATTTTAGCAATACATGATACATGTTATTGAATAAAAGAAGTAAAAAAGTGTTTTGACTCACAAGTGTCTGCCTCCTTAATTCAAGGGCAACAAAAAGAATCATATTTATGGTAACGGAAAGGACATAGAAATATAGAATCAATTCCATATTTCCATATACACTGTAGTGTCGCAGCTTACACGGCTAAAAGCTGTTTGAGTTCTCTACGTGACAATATCTCAAATTTATCCCTATGTCTCTCCTAGTGTATAGAGCATACAACGTTTGGATATTTAGATGCATATAAATCTCCTTCAAAGTACCTTCCACCCCCCAGGCCCTAGCATAATAATTCATCATTCTTCAGATTGTATAAAAAAAATACTAGTATCCATTGCCTTCTGTTGTATCAGGTAGATCAACCATCTCAGATTCTCAAAGACATTGTACAAAAAGAGGCAAGTACACAGAACATCAGGTAATTGGTAGATGAAGCATCTTTACATCCAAATTCTCAATCATCTTTAGGGATGAGAAGCTAGTCCAAGTAAGTGTAATACCATTTAATTAGAATTTCCATATATTTTTAAAAGACATACAGAATCCTCTATCTAAGTCGAAAACCAAAAGCAGCCAAAATAAAAGCTCATCCCCCCCCCCCCCCCACATCTCTCCTTGATCTCTTAAATCACTCTAACAAGACAGCTGATGATTAAATGAAATCCCCAGTCAATCCTTGAGTCATCAAACTTCATGTAACTCTTCAAACAAACTCACAAAACAGTTACAGAATGTAGACAATTAAACGGAATGGAATATTATCAAGTCTTATCAGCTTGCTTTCCCTTGCTCATATTACTAGCCACTAAAATTGTCTGAATGCAGATTCTGTAACAACAAGCATCTTAGCGGTCAATACCGTCCTCAATATACTTTAATGGGGCTCAAGTTGAATCAATCAACAAAGTTTCCAACAATGAAACTCTACAAAAACCCAACTAATTAACCAAAGACCTCCCTCAAGCTCAACAAGAAGCATTCTGAGGATCCATACTTACTACACCACAAACACCCCCCCTCCTCCTCCAACCATCTAAACTGTATAAGCAGAACTTTTTTCTTAAGGCTAGAACTCGCCGTGAAATTGCCGAAAGACCTAAAATAACAAACCGGCCGAAAAGCCCGAAAAGGCCAAATCATGAATAACATGATAACACTAACAATTTGAGCCAAACCCCTCATACATAAACTCTTCTCATTCATCATTCCTCATTCCTGTTTCTCAAATAAACCAAACAACGAGAAGCAACCAAATCTACACACTATAATTAACCTTATAATCAAACAAACAGAAACCAATAATCATTGAACAATTAACACTTAAATTTCAACCAACAACACAACAATGAGCTTTGAAAATTATGCCAAAAATTAGAACAAATAAATAAAATCAAACCCAAAAAATTAAAAAATACCCAGAAAAATTAAAGAACTAACCGTCTTCTTCAAGGTCACTTCCAGAATCAATAGGCTCAAATTCATCAACTTTAGCATCAGCAGGATGATCAGGACGAGGAGGAGGAACCTGAAGAGAATCACTCTCGATAATATGTGAAGTACGAGAACGAACACTGAGAAGATTAGGGTTAGAAACAACCCCAAATTGCTTGTAATTGCTGATAACACTGCCCTTTTCGTCCCATTTAGTGCCTAGTGGATCGATCAAAGCACGAAGTTTAGGGGGGAGATTGAAGGCTGGTTTAACGATTTTAGGGTTCTTCTTTGGAAGTCCTACTTTCACCTTATGAATTCTTGATTTTTTGTATTTTCTTCTTGATCCCCCCATTTTTGTGGTTCTTTGAGGTTTGGAGGTTGTGTTGCTATGAAGGGAGATGAGGGATTGAGGGTTTAAGCGAGGGTTATAGGGCAACTAAACCTAAATTACATCAAGGATTTATCGAGATATAACTTTGATTTTTTTTTTTTTTTTTTTTTTTTTTGACACAGACCATTAGTAATTTTAATTGTTTATTACTATTATTTGTACGGCTTTGTTTGGTTAGTAAATGTAAAGAAGAGAAAGGAAAGGAAGGAAAGAGAAAGAAAAAGAAGGAAAAGGAAGATGATTTTAGAAAGGAAAGGAAGGAAGGAAATAAAAGGAAGAAAAAGGAAATTTATATGTATTACTTTTAATTTTCTCTTTCCAGTCGAATTCCTCCAACTTTGGGAGGAAAGGAAAACTAAAAATTTGTAAAAGGACTTTCCTCCCACTTTCCATCCTTTCCTTTGGATTCTCATGTCATTTATTCAACCAAACATGGGAATATGATTAAATTCATTTCCTTTCCTTTTTTTTCCATCCAAATAAGGCTCAACTAAAAAGGCCCGTAATAAAAGTTGTAAAAATTTAAAATTTGAAAATAGACATTGTAAATGTAACTAATCCGAGATACATTACACAATTACATATATTCATTTTACAATAGTAAGAAAATTAAGTCAAAGACAGTAAGTGAATAGTGCATAAATTAAAGGGATGCAAATATCGGAGGAAGTGGACACATGAGCATGTCTTGACACTAAAGTATTATGAAGTATTTGTTACGTTTTCTTAATCTAATTACACAAATATGTAGATGAGAATCAATCTCGGAATATGGGTATCACCCCAAGACTTAACCAACTAAAAACTATTTTTTTTCCCTTAATAAATATCCAATGTTAGAAATTTTCAAGCATGTACTTAATATTTTGTTAGAAACTTAATATTGTTGGATAAAACTTAATATTGTTGGATATTTGATTGAAATTAATGGATTAATTAATGTATATGAAGTAAAATTTTAAATTTTTGGAAAATGTATGGGACAAAGGAGATGAAAAAATCTCCGATACATAAGAATAAGCTAAGTATGTACATTGTGGAGAGATTGTTATGTAATGGTCCACAAGATACAATGTTGCAATAACTTCCGTACAAAACATTTGATATATATAACTTTGGTATTGAATTTGAATCTCATATTTTTAAGGCTCTCAAATCTTAATTGAAAAATTACTAGTATTGTGTGAGTTGGACTCACGGTGAGTCAACCCACACAGTATTTTTTCTGTCGTCTCATCATCATCATTAACAAGAAGATCATTGCAACCTACAATCAACCAATTTGTCTTCAATTCTCATCCTATTCATCCTTAAATCTCACATTTTTGATTCGCTTTTTCAGAACCTTAACCTCGCTTGATAAAACCCTTTTTAAATCTCAAATTTGAGCTTTAACCTCTAAATTTTCTTATTTATCGTAATTAGTTTCTCAACTAGCTCTTCACACTCGATCCTTTACCTAGGGGCTGGGCTTGGTGCTCATTTTCTGTTACAGATATATGATGAAGATTTAATATATGATGATGATTTGATTTGATTTGCTTAGGGTATTATTAGTTGGCAAAAGATAGAATTAAGTTAAGTTGTGATATTAACTTAATATTCTTGACATATTTATCTTGTACATGTTTATATATATTGCAGCCAAGAGCCATGAATACAAGCTAAGCAATCATTCGCTTGTAGAGTACATCATCATCGTCGCCTGTTTCTCAAAAATGAGGGTATCGGAGCAGGTTATTTTTTTAACCTAACCTATGACAGGCGGCACATCATCATCGTCGCCTGTTTCTCAAATTTTCATAGCAAATAAATCGAAGATTATTGCACCTATGATTGGTAACACTACGGTGTCAGATAATTAAATGGATGAATGGTAAATTCAATACTAATTTTTGGATAGTTGATACGGGTGCCACGCACCATGTCACAGGTATCGACACTTGGTTGTTTGATACAACGCCTATATTTGATTGTCCGGTTGGTCTACCAAATGGTGAGACCGTTCTTGCAGAAAAAGAGGGTTCAGTTCGTTTATCGCACTCAATTGTGCTTAAACATGTCCTATATGTTCCCAAATTGAGTTGTAATTTGATTTCAGTTTCTCAATTAAATGATGATTTGCATTGTATTGTTAAATTTAATTCATCTATGTGTGCTATACAGGACCAAAAGGGGACGCTAATTGGAACGGGAGCTAAACGAGATGGACTTTTCTATTTCGGAGGTGATTCTGTGCAACATGTTTCGGTGAATTGGGTAAAGTCACAGTTGGAGTTATGGCACAAACGACTTGGTCATCCTTCGGAGAAGGTAGTAGAAGGTAGTGAAATTACTTCCCCTTGATAGCCTCACGGGTAGCTTAGATAAAAATTATGAAGTTTGTTTTCGGGCTCAACATCCCAGGGAAAAATTTCCTTCTAGTGATAATAAAGCGAGTCGCATATTTGAAAATATACATTGTGATTTGTGGGGCTCATATAGACATGCTTCTTCTTGTGGAGCTCGTTATTTTTTAACTATAGTAGATGACTATTCCCGTGCTGTATGGATTTATTTGTTGGATGATATAATGGAGGTTTTCCGTGTGTTTATGAATTTCATTGCAATAGTTGATCGTCAATTTTCTCAGACTATTAAAATTGTTCAAAGTGATAATGGGACTGAATTTAATTGCTTGCGTGATTATTTTGCTACTACTGGAGTTTTGTTTTATACTTCTTGTGTTGGGACTCCTAAACAAAATGGTTGGGTTGAACGGAAGCATAAGCATATTTTAAATGTTGCTAGGGCTTTGCGATTTCAAGCAAAATCGCACTCTGACTCCTTTGTTAGATAACAAAACTCCTTTTGAGATTCTATTTGGCTATCCTCCATCATATAATGCTATTCAGACTTTTGGTTGTTTGTGTTTTGCTCATAATCAGAAAACTAAGGGTGATAAATTTGAAATTCGAAGTCGAAATGTGTATTTTTGGGGTATCCTTTCGGAAAGAAAGGATGGAGATTGTACGATCTTGATAAAAAGGAATTCTTTGTCTCTAGGGATGTGGAATTTTTTGAGGGCGTTTTTCCATTTGTTGATACGAAAGAGGTGAACATTGACCCGAGAAATATTGTTTCTATGGGTGATGATGTTTCGGTTGATCCGGATTTTGATGAATACTATGAGCATCAATATGAGGAAGACAAGGTTATGGGCAACAATGAAGAAGAAGAGGTGGGTGTGCAGGTGAATGAGGGAGAAAACACCGCTGCCCAGCCCACCCAAGGCCAAGCAGCAGACCCACTGCCCTGCCGGGGCAAACCATTCAAGGGAAGTTCGCCCACAGCCAAGTAGGGGGCTCCGCAACCACCCCGCGGCACACAACAACAGACCGTAGGGGGGGTGCGGAGTGCATTGACTTGCAGCGTGACTAGCAGCATTGTAAGCAGCAACACAGTCAGCAGCATCACAGTCAACAACAGCAGCATAGTCAGCAGCTGCACAGTCAGCAACAACAGCACAGTCAGCAGCAACACAGTCAGTAGCACAGTGAGCATAGTTAACAACCATCGGGTCGTGGTTTTCGCGAGAAAATCCCGTCAGTAAAACTACGAGATTCTGTGACTCATACATTGATAGCAAAAAGTCCATCTCCATCAATGTCTACTCTTTTTCCAAAGCGATCCTCAGGTACCCCGTATCCTATAGCACACTACATTAAATGTGATAATTTTTCTGTCAATTACCGTAAATTTTTGGCAGCTATAATTTCGGGTGATGATCCGAAATCTTTTAAGGAGGCAACGAGACATGAAGGATGGAGAAAATCAATACAAGAAGAAATCCAAGCCTTAGAAAATAATGGGACTTGGATGGAGGAGTTGCCACCCGGGAAACGTGCTCTTGGTAGTCAATGGGTCTATAAGACCAAATACTTGTCAAATGGTGATATAGAACGATTAAAGTCGAGATTGGTGATCTTTGGCAACCATCAAACGGAGGGCATTGATTACAATGAGACTTTTGCTCCGGTTACAAAGATGACAACTATCCGAGCTTTCCTAGTTATTGCTGCCTGGAAGAATTGGGAACTTCATTAAATGGATGCGCACAATGCTTTCTTACATGGTGATCTTCAAGAAGAAGTGTACATGAAATTGCCCCCGGGGTTTGAAAAATCCAATCCGAAATTGGTTTGCAGATTGCGGAAGTCACTATATGGTTTGAAGCAAGCTTCGCGTTGTTGGTTTGCTAAGCTTATTACTGCTCTAAAAGGGTATGGGTTTCTTCAACCCTACTCTGATTATTCTTTATTCACATTCACTAAGGGGCATGTTCAGATTAATGTTTTAGTCTATGTTGATTATTTGATTATTTCTAGCAATGATTCCGCTGCGTTATTAGCTTTTAAAGCTTATTTGGGTGATTGTTTTAAAATGAAAGATCTAGGGCCCCTGAAATATTTTCTTGGCATTGAGGTCGCACGAAGTACGAGGAGATTATTTTTGTGTCAGCGCAAATATACGCTAGACATTATTTTTGAGGTTGGCTTGATAGGTGCAAAGCCTAATGGCTTTCCGATAGAGAAATATCACAGATTAGGTCATGCGAATGGTGATTTACTTGCAGATCCGGAAACATATCGCCGTCTTATTGGTCGGTTGGTCTATCTTGCTATGACACGAACGAACCTAGCTTATTCGGTGCACATATTGTCGCAGTTCATGCAGGCACCTCGGACGGAGAATTAGGATGCTGCCTTATGTGTGGTTCGATACTTGAAAGGTACACCCGGGCAAGGGATTTTGCTATGGGCAGATAGTGATTTGACGCTACAAGGATGGTGTGATTCAGATTGGGCGGCTTGTCCAATTACTCGGAGATCATTGATAGGTTGGTTAGTGTTTTTAGGCCAATCTCCAGTATCTTGGAAGACAAAGAAGCAACCTACGGTTTCGACATCATCAGCAGAGGCAGAGTACCGTTCTATGGCAGCCATAACTTGTGAGCTAAAATGGTTAAAAGGTTTGCTATTGAGTTTGGGTGTACAACATCCAAAGGCTATTCCATTGTTTTGTGATAGTCAGTCCGCTCTACATATTGCTAAAAATCCTGTGTTTCATGAAAGGACTAAGCTCAT